TTATCTCCCAGTTTAACTGGATATTTCGTCTTGTCTTTAACTAATCATTGTTAAATTGAAAGCACTTTTAAAGTGCCGGTCAGTAGTCAAGGTTTTCAGTGAAATGTTTATCAATGGTTCGTAGGAAACTGGTTGTATTTTTACAGAATTTTGGATTCTGTAAGCGTAATGATAATGCAACAATTAGTTTTAAGTACGATTTCGAATTTTTGTGTTGACTTTTGATACTAGCGGGTTTGAATAGACAGTCAGACGTCAACTCTTTCCCAGACTCTTTCAATCTGTTGGTTGGAAGGGAAAAGCTGCGAACGAGGTTAAGCCTAAAGCGAGGAAGCTGTGATGCATGAGCTGTTCACAACGAAAATGCTTCAGAGCAGATGATTATCGCGTGATGAGACTGCACTTAAACAAATGCGATTGACATCAAAGGGTAAACTCCAAATTTATATAAACAAGTAGGAAATCGTTTCAATCAAAATGGTTAATTTGTTTTGATGTAAATCTATTGTGAAGAGAGCATGATTAGTGTTCAAGTTGAAATATCAATCCCTGTTATCTGCTTGAATCTCGAAGGCTTGAGGGAAGCACAGCTTTCCTCTCCATTCTGGAAAAACATTGCGAAAAGAAAAAGTGCAAGAGAGTTCAAGGATGATTTGTGTAGACGAATGCTTTTTACTCTTTTTGAAGGACAGCGACGTTCGTTGTCGTTGAAGAATTAAACTGGACTCTCGTCTAGTAAATTAGTGATAAGCATGTCTTTGTGTATTTGGCCCAGGTGGCAGTAAGAGATTTGAGAGGCGAAATCGTATTATATTAGCTCTTTAACTGACCGAAGGCATTCGTTTATTCTTTCAAGAATCGTTTGATTAACTCTTGACAAACGTAGTGTCCATTGATAAATATGTATCGTGAGAAAAAAAAAATAATAATGTGATTTGACTTGCTGACAATTTATGGTGTCGTGTAAAACAATGGATGTATTTCGTCATTTCAGATAGAGTTAGTATTAACGAAAAGAAACTGTAAATTAGTATTGTGAAGTTATATTTTTGGCTAGGTCAGTGATACGTTTGTCTTGTTTATTTGATTTTAGTGATTTAGTATTGCTATATCTTCTGTATGTTACTTTTTTCAAACATTTGCTCAATGGTTGTCCAATTTTTGGCATTGTCAATTTTTTAATTTGTTATTGCTATTATATATACATATACATGTCGTGAATTGTTAAAAATCGGTAATAAGGAAATGTGTTTTGTGTTTCTTAACCGTATATTTATATTGCGTAGTTTGGGTTGAAGCTGGGGGAGTTTTGTCCGTTGAATTTTAGATACAATCTGCCCTTTTTTTTAGCGTGAGTGCTTTCTAAAGTTTGCTAGGAAACAATTTAAGTTTATGAATTAATCAAATCTTCACGAAAAAAGCAACCAACTAGCTTTAAACTTTCGTTCATGTTCTTAAAAGATTAACTTTTGAATTCGGGTTCAAATGCGTGTTAATACTCATGAGGGTTTGAGATTTTGATATTTAACGAAATATTTCAGTGTGCATAAATTATTATTCCGCTCTGATCTGTAGTGATGGACTATGTGGGAGGGTTTTGTAATTCTAAGAGTGGCGATTTGAAGGCATTACTCAGCCTATTAATTACTGCTATTAAAAGAATTATGTATAATATTAGTACTCATTAGAAATATTAAAAGTAGGTCGTGACAATTTTGGCCCCAAAATTTATTTAGCGCCGCAGGTGCGCAAGTGTGCGGTACACCATAATTGGGCAACTTGTCGTTTTGTTTTCGTCGCATGGCTTTCATTTTTCCTTGGGAGGAGAGACTCGGGAAGGTGTGAATTAAATCAAATGGAAGCCAAACTGTCGTAAAGGAACGAGTAGGTTGCGTCTTGATTATCATGATTCTAGCGCGGAAATAAAAGACACCAAACGATTGTAAACGCGTTGTTATAGTATATTTTATTGTACAATAAATTTGTATGTTGTTTACCAGTGGATAAGGCTAATAAAAGTGGGTAATGTGAGATCAAGGGTTATCCTTTTCGCGTGGCTTTAAGTAGTCGAAATATGTTTTGCTAGAGATACGTTTTCATTCCTTTTGTGCCGACTGTTTTTTAATATTGGGGAAATGAAATTTTTTCCATTCCCGTTATTTTCAGCGCTGTTACGGAGCTAAGTCGCATGTTCGTTCTCGGAAATTGCTGTTTGATTTCCGGACGCTTGCCTAAATTTTCGGTATTCATTGTCGGACCCTCGATGTCTTTCGTCCGTATTCACAGTATTTGTTCGATGTTTCTTCCCGTAAGCTTTTGTCGCTCCGTTCATTTTTGTTCGAAAGGCTCCGCTCTAGAAGAAGTCTCTGGCCAATTTTTTTAATATCTATTATTGTTTATACAATAAGCATTGTTTTTAAGTATTCATGATATTTTCTCTTGACATAAACGCACATGTATCGGTAAAAGCTCGGTTCATGCAACAAACGAATGGGAGAAAACTTTCATCTTCGGCGCATGACGTCAGACTAAAACGAGAAACTTGAATTCATGCAGAATTTTTGATTGAGCGTCTTTACTGCCAAAACTAAAGAAATCACAAGGGACAAAATGCTCTACAGAGCCAATGAGCACTCAAAGGAAAAATGAGTGTTAGAGGCGCGGGAAAACGCGGATGACCAAGTCGGGATTGGTTTTCTAATCTTGAATCTTATTGGTTGAGTTTTCTGCACCAATCACAGGTCACTTCCCGGATGACTTTCGTCACTCAATTGAAAACTGTATCGATCGCTGAAGCAATTCTCTATGCGCTCTATAAAGCGGTATGGACGAAGTCTTGTCCGTTCAAATAAACACACATCCCCCCCCCTCTTTTACAAATTACATTAAACCACGCGACATATCATGATAAAATTAGCGTTCCAAAAAAGAAAAATAGGCATGAATAAAACACACCTGGCTGATGGACTGCGTTGTGAATGAGTAGGTCTTGTTTTGACCGAACTGCAAATTTATCAAAACTTCTGAATGACTTCTGGATCTAAACATGGGTGATTTCACTAGCAACTTAGCCAAATTGGAGCTTTCACTTATTTAACAATCTAGTGTTACATCAGTCATTTCCAATTTATTTCCATGGGAAATGCTTACGTCTAGTTTTCTTTCGCTGTATGGAAATGGATTTTGTGGCCTCCACATCTGGAGAGACGTAGCGTGACAGCTGTAATCTACAGGCGTGGTTGCGAGCACATTACCATGCAAAACTGTTTCACCCTCCCTTGCGTTCCTGCTGAGTCCCTCATCTATCCGCGGCATGTTATACATTTTTTGATTTCCTTCTTTATGTCCCTCTTAATCAGCCCGTAAAAAAAGGGATTCATGGCAGAGTGAGCCAGAAGGAACAACCACGATATATTCATAGTGGTGTGAGGCGAGTGAGTCGGAGCTTCTGTGTTGCTGAAAGATTGTTTAAAATGAAGATAGGCTGCAAAGAGCCAGCAACCAACGAACACCAAGATCACGATGCCAAGTACCGTGATAGATCGATCGTGATTTGGATGTCTTGGTTTTGCCTTGAGAGGTGCAGTTTTACCATCTGTAGAGCGTTCCACATCAGATTCCATTCCAGCACTTGACAATTCGCTCTGTGCTCTACTCCTTGCACTGACCACGGTCAGATTCGGTGCAGTGAATTCTGTTTCTTTCAGCACATCTTCTGCAGACATAGTAACGGAGTAGTTGAAGTCCACTTGATCTTTGAGGCGCTTCTCCTGTTTCTTATGTCTCTGTATGATGCACACGATTCGCAAGTACGCCAGAGGTAGCGCAATGCAAGGAAGTCCCACAAACAGGAGTGTTTCGGTGATGGCAAACGCTTTCATCCCCGTTCCCTGTTCCTCAGGACTCTTCAGCAGGTAGGTGAAGTGAAGGAGGGTCACGAATAAAGGGACGAACCAACATACCAAGATAGGGATCAAGTACTGACTGACTTCAATTACGACGGGGTACGTTAAAGGACGAGTGACAGACTTGTAACGATCCCAAGTCACCAGACATAAGCTCAACAGTGAGGTGTAGACGAAAAATTCGTACATCGCCAGCTGGATCTCTCTGGAGCATGTTGTCCAGTAGGTGCATAGTAACTCAGGTGGGGTTACAAACAATCCCACGCACAAGTCCGCCAAGTTTAAGGACAGGACAAACTTGTTTGACAGGTTGCGTCGCAGCCTCCGTCTTGTTACGAGGAGAAATATCAGTGGGGTATTTCCGAGAATCGTGAAAAGTGCGAGAAACACTCGTATAGTCCAGTACAAGCGGCTTTTCGCAGGATTGAACGAATGAAGACGTTCTGTAGAAGGCCCCGCGGCAACTGAAGTGTTTGAACCAGTTGCCATTAAAATGATTGATCCAAGTTCTGAAGCAAGAAACAGAGATCAGCGCATAAGATCATAAGATCAGCGCATTACCTGAACTCTTTTTTTAAAGAACCTTTTTATGATAAAATTTGAGGCTGAAATTAATGCAATGTTGAGAGCGCTGGTGTTTAGAACGTGCCAAGCTGATAATAGAAGGTAACTAGGGACGAACGAAACCCTTTTATTTTCTATACATTTTTTCGGAACGAAAAGTACGCAATAACACAGTGACCTCCACCTGTTTCCCAGAGCATAATTCTGTTTCTAAAGCAAGCAGAATTTTGGGCAGAAAACGTCATGTCTAAGAACTGAGCTGATCATTTAGACTGGCCACCGCAATTGATTTTTTAACCTATTCAAATTGTCTACTCAGTTGGTAAAACCAAATTACCTTGTAATATCCCCCACAGACAAAACACTACAGTTTCTTTAGAAAATTACCCCTTTTATTCGTTGTTTACTAGTTTGGTGAGCAGATATGACACGCATTGGAATTGGAGACAAAGACTCCCGATACGAAATTAGAGACGTTTAAGACACCTGTTAGAGATACGTGCCTACTTTCAGCCCTGCAAGAAAATTTTCCCCGTACACTAAACATCTTTTTCTTTAGTTTTATTTTCTAAATAGACCAAGTTACTGGGGGAAAATTGAAGGAAAAAATATAAGAAACATGCATCAAAATAGCCGTAACTTAGATTTCAGCACTATTTTAATTTTTTTTGGTGCCGGTTTTTCTAAGCGGAAGATGATAAATGTTTGCTTACCTTGGGGACAGAATTCTGTTTCGTGAATGTGTTCTTATTATCAATTGTGCTGCCGTGTTGAACGTATGCAAATAGCAAAAAACGATGAGATGTTTGTCAGTAGAACGGAAAGATAAAATTAATTATGATAAAAATCCTTAATCAGTTATTTCCACAATACACCGTTTTGTCTCAAAAATTTTTGATTGCTACTGGGTTCATATCTTTGACTTTTAATTTTAATTTTTTGTTTTAATAACTTCTAGCTTACACCTGGAGGGTGTGTCGACTCTAATGGACATACATTTCTAAAAGTAAACCCGCTCATCAGGTTTCGTTCAAATAAGCAAAGCAAAATTTTTTGATACAGAGCCAGTTTCATAATCATTCTAAGCTTTTGAGTCATGTCCTTGCTATTCTCGAGTTCCTTTTACAATACTTTTAAACGTCAGCAATCATTATCATAGTCCAATTAAAGCGATTTGATAAAGATGTCTTACCATCCTTGTCGATATATTTTGTTTAAGATCGAATGACAGCATATGAGAGAAATTCCGGTTGGCGCAATCGGCCTCTTTTTCTTTAATCTCCCTGAAAACTTTCTGGAACTCGGCGCGAACAGTGGGTGGGTTCTTTCACGTCTTCTACGTTAAGGGCAAAAACGTGCGCCTAAAAGTTTAAGTTCTTGACCAGGAGGCGTAAAACCACTTTCATATGTCCTTGTGAGGACTAAAAATTCCCAGTTATTCAAGATTACAAGTGTTGATCCAATTCAGAGCTCCAACCATCGACCACTCGCGCGGTATTACGGCACCGCCTCTTCCAATTTGTTCTTTGAGCTTCGTAATTTTTTTCTCAGTTTTATCGTCAGAATCATCAGCCTTATTTCTATGGCTTTTTGAGGCTATTTTACAGTTGTATCAACCCAGTTAATGATATAAGCGAATTATGTTGTAGTATATCTTATCGACGTAGCAATACATTTTCTTTAAAAACTTGCCCCCTTTCTTGATTTGTTATTTCTATGGACTCTAAGAGAACTCTACTCAGTTAAAGAACCTTGCCATATGCGAATGCATTTTGTTTTTCGTCTCAATTGGCGCCAAATCTCCCTTCAGCTTAAAAGCTTATCCTTAAGCTTTTGATACTCTGACTCATTCTTTCAACTTAAGCTACAAATATGCAATTGTATTATTATAATAAATTCACCATCATCATTCTGAAAAAAAAATGATTGATATATCTAGATTCTGAAAATAGGATGTATCACTTGGCAAATTTACCTTAAAGGGCAAAAGAAAGAAAACGGAAATTAAGGAAAATTGTAAATAATTGTTGAGAAACCCATACATTGCAGCTTGCGGGAAGAATTATCCAGGATCATGTTTGCAACCAAAAAAAGAATTGGAGACCTAATTACAAGATGTTACAGCCATTTGTTGAATTTAAGATGTGTTTATTGCTTTCAAACTGACTAAAAGTTTAGAACAGTAAAAGTGACTGTAACGAACGCAAGTTATCGACTTTCTTTTTTACGGCAATTAATAGGATCTAGTCTTGAAAAAAAGGAAAAGAGGTAAAAAACATTATCGATATCAGTCTGTGTGAATAGATTTCTGGGATAATGTCAGTTAGTTATACCGCGTGCGGCTTATAACACCGGCTGTCATTCTACTGCGCTGCTTGGGAAACGTCGCAAAGAGACAGAATGTAGATTAAGAATAACGCCGCAAGATTTCACATGGTGAACATGACTTATTTGCAATAAGCTTTTACCTGTACCCCGAAAATGCAATTTCATGATTGTTCGTTTTTTCAAAGACAACAGGAACGCATTTAGATTTAACTCCAGCAGTGGTCGTTAATTGTATGTGATCAATTATTGATAACATATGAGTCATCTCTTTTTAAGATGCGGTGAAAGGGCTTTAAAAGTCGATAATTCAGCAGAATGTTTAAGTGTAGCTGTCGGCGAGTAGAATGAAAATAATTAAAAATTCAAAATGTCTTTCAAATCTGAATTATTTGTTGGCCGTACGTGACTCACTAAAAAAAGTAGAAACACAAACTACAACCTCAAGATTCACCTCTCAGGGTTTGTTTTGTGCATGTTATAGTTTCAGATTTTTAAGCCATGGCAAAACGTATTACTCTCAGGCTTGAATTTTCGTCCTCAAAAAACTTACGTAGGGAGTAATTCATTAACGAAAAAAGGCAAACAAAGCAAAAGTCCTTGCCGTAAGTCAGATGCAGGAGTTCAAGATTTGAAAGCTATCATCATTCCTGATTGCTTCTTAACCAACATATCCCGTCCCACGGCAACAGAAAGCTTTGGACAGAATGTTCACCTACAAATTATCATAAGTGTTAAGTTTCTACCTATGGCCGACTTTTATTCCAGAGCTCATAATTTATTTGATGCGTCTGCAACGACAAATATTTGGCCAGGAGTAGCCGTTAGAACGAACAAGTAAGGATGAAATAAAGATATTTTAAAATTGACGCCGAAAAGAAAATTTAGGGAAACGAATTTAGCTAACATTTTTATCAGACGTCGGTAACATGTATTTTGTGACACGAGTTTCCCTACGACGACAAAATTATGACGCAAAATGCCCTCTGTGAAAAACGATAATACGCGAAAATGCCGGCTTAAAAAAAAATATTTCTTATGCACAAAAAGGCAAAAGAAATATACCCACCTTTTTATCGAGGAAGCGCTCCCAAAACCATTATTTGCGGTACACAAAAACACTCCGTACTTGACACGAATTGTTATAACTTTGGGTTATCCGTGTGGCATATTGAAATTAGATGGCAGGAAATCCAATTGGCCGGAGCTGTCACGTGATCTGTAATAACAGATTTCCCGCTTATCAGCGCACTCACTTGATGTGTCTTTTCACTCACCGAGAGACAGGTCGTTTATTCTTACAACTCTCTTAAAATTAACTTAGGGCTTTCACCTGCGGAAAAAAAAATGTTTTCTCCCTTTATCTTTAAAACGTTCAATTTTACGGTGTCGTGCAGTGAATAATTTTTTCATTCGTGATCTTCGCTCGAAACCGCAAAATTTAAAATTTATACACAACATTGAGATTGAATACATTTGAAACCAACACCTGTAATTATTTCCTAATTTGTTTGAATTATTCATAAAAACGTGCGAGATAAATAATAAGAGAGGGAAATACTATTTTTAGTAGCTGACAACACTGGTATACAGTTGGGAGAGATGTCTTACTCACCAAAAGGGGAATTATAATTTGATATACCACATAGAACCTCTAATTCATCGACAATATGGTGCGGCAGTTTTAGGGAGGCATTAGGAATCAAATCTTTAGGAGTGTGAACTTTTGGACCTTATGGTCAAACCGGTGAAAAACAAATAAATGTAATTAACTTGTTTTTATTATTTTCAGATATGGGAAAAGAATTTAGTCAAAATATCCAAAAACGCTTTAGATACAAATCGTGGAAGTCTGGTTTTTCGAGATAAGGCCGTACTGATGCTGGCAAAACATAACTGACTTCTGAAGCCCTCTCTCGAGTAGTTTACTTGGTACAAAGCCTTATCGTTTTGTCGTCATAAATTCGGATGTCATTTCTTTCTTTTTTTTTTACTAAAAAATCAAGAGGAAAAAAAATTCTCTACCTTAGTTTTTTCCTCTTTGCTGATTGGTTCTGTTCTGCAAGCCTGAGAATTTTTTGCATATCGTTCAGAACGAATTTTCACGAAAAGTTAAGGAGGCCGATGGCTAAGCAATTGCCATCAAATTTGGCAGCTGTGAGAGGTTCTTCTCTTTGATGTTGAAAAATAGATGGAACCGCCGATGTAGTAAAACGTGACCTCACGCTTTATAAATATTATAAAACTGAGTCGGAAAGGTCAGGGAAATAAGGGAGTGGAGAGAAGAGTGAAAATGGCCAAGATGTTGGCCCCATCAGCGATGGGGAAGCACACTCAAAATGGCTTTGTACCGGGGTTCTCCGTCCTTATTACCAAATAGGGCTACTCTTTTAAACTTATACATCTGCTTTTGACAGAAAGGTACTCTTTTCATCTATTTCCGCATAGGTAGTGGTCTTGGATTACATATGTCTACGCTAAGACATTTTTTAGTAACAAAATAAAGGAAAAAGGCAAGATAGTCTCTACGATAGCCAATTCACATCATCAACTCAACCTCTATTTATTATAAGTAGTATTATCAAATTAAAGTTATTATAACCATTACTATTGCCATTGTAAACAACTTAAAGAAAACCAAACGAATAAGAAACGAGATCGCTGTAAGTTTTTCATCTAGTCTCCCAGTGTCCCACAGACTCTGGTCATGATTTGCATTTCACTTCCGCAGTTCGTGGCTTCAAGCGCTTGTGGAGTCGAAATTTTAATAATTCATCAGAAGTGAACAGCTTTTTTGGCTATTCCTGAAGATCTGGTGGTGGATTGTGGTGTGTATCATCGAAGGAGTCGCTGAAACCAGTGTAAATAACGTGTTCAAGGTGGGTTTTTGCTTAACACTGTCTGACCTCTGGAAGAACGCATGAAACATGAGTTCAATTCAAGTAGTTTGAATTCTGCAGAGCCAGAAGAAAGAAAATAAAGATAATTTTTACACACCGCAAGTGTAGACCATGTATGCCGCCAGGCTCTAAATATGAAATATTAGATCCTGGTCACGGTTTCGCTTTTGAAAATGGGAAACTAACTTTTCGATGCCAGTGTTCTACTTTTTTTCGACTGTGCGTTTTATGTCACACAAGCGGGGCGTCCGTTTCTGTCTAATAAGCGTCACGAGCGGCTGGAACTGAGTTAAGATTTGTATATGGTATACATGTGCACTGACGGTTGCGTTTAAATGTTTCCTGTGAAACCTGTAACCTCATCGCGGTCATCACCCGAACCACATGAAAGGTTTTAAGAAAAGCAACGAAATTAAGACTTCATCTGCGATTTACCCGAGTAACTGAGCTCAATGGTTCGCATATTGATAACAGCGCATTAATTTCAGACAATAGTATTTAAGATGAATTGGCTTTAAGTTAAAGCCAATTCATCTTAAACGATTTTTCTAACGAAAGATAACACTGATATTTCATGGTGAATACTAAATCATAGTAAATTTGCCGTATCTCCGGTGGTGTTCATGAATATAATACAATAACGTGACGGAAATTCGTGTTCGTGGTACGGTTATTTTCATTGCTTCGTGCCAATCGGGACCACCCAACTCACGTCCATTTCACTCGCCTTTTTTTTTTTTTTTTTTTTTTTCAATTACGATAATAATGATTTCAAAACGTTTGATTCTGGTCATTGATTGAATATAATGATCACTCTTACCTCGATAAATCATCGATAGCCTGGCCCGTTTAACCTTTTGACCCCCTAAGAGTGAGTAGCATCTAATTTCTCCTTACAATATCACCCCTGAATCAAGCATTAAGGTCACAAGAATAAAGGAAATGATCACCAACTAAAGAAACTCTTCATTGTTGGTTGAATTCTCCTTGTAAGCTCATTTGTAAATGTATAGAGAACAGTATGGAGAATATGCATACTGATGTAAAGGTGTAAAGGGTTAATGAAGGGTCGATTTCAAGTTTAACTTGCATCACAGAGCGGATTCGCGTCGTATCTGGCTTTTGAAAATAAAACCTATGTTGAATCGGTTGACTCAAGACTTATCGGAGTCATATCCAAATTAATTAGCAAAATTTAACTGTTATTGGCTGACCTTCTAAAAACTCCAAAGTTTTTAATTAGAACTACCGTATTACCGCTGGCATTTAAATCAAATGAGGAAATTCCTTTACTGATGATTGGGTTGTTAAGTTGCCTATAAATGCTAAACGAGGGAAGCGTTATGAATAAATTTTTTGCAAGAATTATGATGTATCTGAAAGCTTTTTTTTTTTCAGGGCCGGAGAAACTAAAGTTAATGCCATGGCATCTACGTCGCATTCCTCTGCACCAGCTGGTCCCGCAAGTGAAATAAGCATACCAAAGTACAGTAACTGGCTCGCTGTGGGTCATGCCTTAGTAAACGTACTTTGTAAGGGTCTGCGGCCTTATGTTACACGAGAGATGGATTGTCTGTATAAGTGCATAAAAAACAGAGTTGCGGATCTTCCCGATGCGGGACCCTGCCAATGTAAAACAAGAACTCATAAAATGGAGAAATGTGCATGGGCATGTGAACTTCAGTTTTTTCACCATCGAAACAAACCACACTGAATTGAGTCCAGGCTCCATTATTAATGGCGCGGACGACATGGATATTACTGGTATTTTGAACCTCATGTACTGGTGCAACAAATTTAAAATTTTACAGACTCGAGTCAAAGAAATTCGTTAAGCACGTCATACTAATGTTTTCGCCTGTTTCCCCGATATTTAGATCACGTGACGTTGGCTCTATCAGAACGTCATCTTTGTCGAAGCCATGAGCAGGGTGAAGGCGATCATGACATGCTCCTTCTAAGGGATCGGTCATTACTTATCTCCGGGGGTGGGGTCGGAGGATTTCTGGGGATCGCATGATTTTCATGGGAAACGGAGGAGGAATTAATCGTCTCTAACGGAATTTTAAGGGGAGGGGGCACGGTAGAAAACTGACTGCCAATGGGGGGGGGGGAGAGGTTATTAGAATATTGCGGAGAATTTAAAGGGTATCAGGTTTTTATTATGATACAAACAACATCCTTTGAACTCCAACCGCCCACCCCCCCTCCCACCAGGTGATAAATAGTGACAAATATACAAATAGTGTCCACGATTGCGGTGTCCTTTTTGTGATCTCCAGGTTACGTTGCCGTTGGTTGTTACAGAGAGAAACAAGATCGAGCAATTGACTCATTAGAAGGAAAGGGTTCCGTCCTGAACGACTCTTACAAATGTCGTGAAATCCTGTCGCAAAGTGCACTGTAGCATCCATGAGAAAAGGGTACAGCATGTTTGCAGTTCAGGATGGCGGCCTTTGTGCTGCAAGTGTTACTGCGCCACAGGTGTTCGACAAATATGGAAAATCCACGAATTGTGAGGTTGATGGTACTGGAGGACCCGAGGCTATTAACGTATGTTTGATGAAAGGTTGTAATAACTCTAAAGGATACTTTGTGTTGAGGACAATTCGCAGAGAGCTTTTTCGACGCGTGGTTGTAGAACACAACGCTTTTATCTAGGTCAGCTAGAGATTGCGTACAAATTTCAAATTATAGACATTTCCATTATTTTGTGTTGTCTCGAATTGATTTATACCTACGGTAAAAACTGAACAAAGAGAACCTAACTCAAAAACACATCGGGGTAAAAGAAAATTGAAAATCTGATACTTACATATTCTGTGCGATAATCGATGGGAAAAGTACAACAAATGTAAGAAACAAACATAGCAATCGGAGTCCCCGAAACGAAACTGCTTTTAGGACAAAAACCATGTGTGACCTAATCACTATCCAGTCGATCATTCGGCCGCTGGTCGGCCTCAACACCCGGCAATTACGAACTGTCCTCCCAAAACAGTTATCGCCAATCTTGATAATGCTTTGCAAACTGTGTGTTCCATAGGAAATAAAGTGAAGGGGAGATCTTCTCAGATTCCCTAAAATCCTCCACGTTGCCGTTTTCTCTCATCTATGCGTTAAGCACTAAAGAGCCCTATATTCCCCTGATCAAGGCAGATTCAATGATTACTGATTGTGATATCACACATAAACATTCTAGGTCTACCTTATATTAGCGTTCAATGTCTTTCGAGAGCTGAATGATTTCAATTTCATTTTACCTTTTCCCCGGTCCATTCTGCAAAAATGCTATAGAGACTTGTCGATCTAGAACTAATTTACAGGGAGTCATTTTGTGTATTTCTTCCTTACCCGATATTCAGGTCATAAAGCCTTTCGCTCTTATAGAACGTTGTCATTGTCGACCACATGAATGGAGTAAAAGTTACCACGATGAGTTCCATCTAAATTACTTTTATCGTGATTGCGAGTTTCTATTTTTATCTTTAGAGTACGAAGACGTTGGTTGTTACAAAGACAAACAAGATCGTGCCATCGAAACATTAGAAGGAAAGGATTCCATCTTAGATGACGCCTACAATTCTCGTGCAAATCCCATTGCAAAGTGCGTCGTCGCTGCAATGAGAAAGGGTTACAGTATGTTTGCAATTCAGAATGGTGGCTGGTGTGCAGCAAGCTCTACTACGCAACAAACCTTTAACAAATATGGAAAATCCACGAATTGTATGGCCGACGGTGAAGGTGAACCATGGGCTGATAATGCCTATATATTAAGAGGTACCTTTTTGCGCAGAATCATAAGACTTATGCAACTTGTTCGAAACCTGACTGATAGTTCGCTCACAGATGTCTTCAAACTTTGAGATTCTCCTCCTGATGACCTCTAACGTTACTTGCTTACTAGTATAACAATTTCTTTTGTTTTTAATCCATTTAGATGAAAAAAGAGTTGGAGGTCATGATAATTCTTCAAGTTACATGGTTCAACCTCTGGAAGAACGGACCCGAGCATAAACAGTCCTCAAGATCAAAAATTCAATCTTCAAGTTTTAGAACCGGATCATTTTTCAAGCCTTCAGTCATTAAAAGAAAAGTTTTTCAAAAGGGATGGCAAAGAATGATTACTTTTGGATTCTATGATTTATGTACCGTACGCATCGCACACAAGGATCACGGTAGATTACAGGTATTGCTTCAGCCTTGCAAAAAAGAAAGATACACACTGGTTGCTACCTGTTTCCGTATCAACCGAGTTTGCCAGCGTATAACGATATGTTCCTCTCGCCAAGGGACAAAGGGTTCGAGCCTATTCAGATAAATTTTGAAGGAGAGAAAAATAGACAGAACAGTGCGTAACCTGCGAATATGTACACCGTTTTTATTTCAACTCGTACGGCGACAGTGGACTGCGCGCGGCGGCGGACTGGTGACTAAATTCCTCTCGAAACTTACGGGTGTTACGGCCCGGTCCGCCGCTTCTCGTGGCAATATGGAGATGAAACGTGTTCACGAAGATGAAGAACTATTTGAAAGTTTGCTTATATGTAGTTATTTAGTTAAGCACGGTGCCGATGCTTTTTCTGACAATCTTTACTCCTTGAATTTTGGACTGTAATCATTACTATGACGCAGGAAAATAGGTTGCGCATAGTTTTCACAGAAAACTAATTCAGCAAAGTTTTTAACACGCTTACTCTTAATATAGCGGACTTAAATCATTTTCAACCCTGACCGAGTGACTCGATCAGTGCATAAGACCCTCGTATAGGAGGGACTGGGGAGGGGGAATTCAATTTCTTACCCAGACCTCTTCATTCGAATTGTATTTGCATTTACTTTCCTCGATTCCTGTTTACGAGCGTAAATTTGTTGTGCTACATTGAGTTTATTTCAAAGTTTCCTCAGTTATTTCCAATTTCCTCATCTGATTCCATAAAAGAAAGATAGACCCCATTGAGCCGGGTTAAGGAGCAGTGGAAACACAATTAAAGGTGAGAAATATCAAACTTTCAACGGAATAATGTGAGGTGATATTTTAAGACGCAATCCTTTATTTTCCCACAGTGAGATAAATCGAGCTTTCAAATCACCGTGAATTGTTTTTTGTAGACGCCTTTGGACTGAAAATTTCTTTTTGGCCTCATGTCTGCTCGAAAAGAGAAAAAAAATCATATGCTCCGAAAACACTACGGCGAAACATATTTGAGAATGTCTGGATAAACTCACAATAAAGCGTATGATATAAACGAAATCGTGTAGTCATCTGAGAAATTATGAATGGTTTTACTATGAGAAGTCATTATTTGAATCCTCTAGATTACAACCCTTTACTCTTAAGATGCATTAAAACCTAGAGAGGATAAGTAGTTGCCTGAATGAATGAGGTTTGAAATATGAATAAATGTGAATAAATATGAATACCCAATATGTAAAGGTCTGCCCTTGTATACATCATCGTTTCACAACTGAAACAACGTAACGTTGCTTCTCAACATCATTTGACCCGAGTTATTTGCTATGATGCGTGTACATGAGAAAATAATGTCCCATAATTTTCAAATGACGTGCATCAAAGTTATATTCGCTTATAAAGACTTCACGCAATAGCTTAGTATAATTAGCTAAGAAATATTCTGCGCGGACTCTGGTTAGGAGGGTTCCCCTTGACGAGCTTTTTCAAAAATAACGTAATAGAGTCTTTTACAAACTTTCCCGTCCTTGGTGTGGTCTCCGAGTTATTTATTTTACTATAATACGCTTACATTCGAGAGGAATGAGACGAAAATCGAAAAGGAGGCGCTGAATCCATCATATATTTAGCTGAGTTGGTAATTAAGGGATTTTGTGTTTGCGTGATCACCGTGCGTACTCACGGGTGAATCTATGAAACGAACCGTGGTTCGATTGCGGCAGATGGGGCAGTCATTTAAATTTGAATCCTACATTTAACGAAACTTTCACTCCGTCTAAAGAGAAGAGCCGTTGTCGTTTAAGAAGTTGCCCAAATATTATTACGTGAATAGTTTACGGTGTGAATTTACACGGTTTACTGATTTATTTTAATTTGCAAAGATCATTTTATAATCGGTCAGGACATGTGTTGGGGGTTTCCCGTCTGGAGGGTTTTTGAAGATGACGTAATGCACAATGTGCTACCAATCTTGAAAGCCTTTTTCATAGCTCCCACAGGAGTAAATAAACTATCCAGTTTTGTTGAAATTTGGATCTTCATAGCTTTGAGGCCCCGTCAGCTTTTTAAGGCAATTTTTGAGTACATCAGTGAATTTAATTGAGACTTAATTTTTGTAACATACTTCGTGTCCCCAATTCCAAGATAAACAATAGAGAGGGAAATGGCTGAGATGCTGACACCCATTTACACTTTTCGAGAATATACAGAAAATATAAAGAAAGGAAAAAGTTTTGCAAAAAGTTGGAAAATTGGATAAATTCAATCGGTAGTAAGTGTGTTATTGCGATTAGTTGTGTCTAAGCCTTAGTTTAAGATTTCTGTTGATCTATAAGCAATATTCCAGTTGTAAACCAAAATACATCACGGCGAACCTTGATAAACGAGGAAGCTAAAAATAATTTCGATTAAACCATATCAAGTTAGTGGCCAGAATCATTCTTTTGTTGTCGTCAACCGGAAAGCCAGTACGTTTCATAATTAATTTGCTTCGATTAAGCAAAGTTTCATTGATTTTCAGTGCAGCTCGTACCGGAATACGTCAAACACGATATATCTCGGATCCAAGGTAAATACACTAGTTCTGTTCTTTATTAACAAAGACAAACTCAAATTGAAATAAAGTCGAGCAGCGTCCAGCACGTTAGCTTCTGAGTGGCTTTTACCAAAAATGTAAAGTAAAAGTGAATTAAATCGAAACCGACCTTTCTTAAAACAGTCTTCTGCATTCCCAGATAGCGATATGGCATTCACCAGCACTTCAGGAACAATCGGGCAAATGGCTAAACCAGAGTACACAAACTGGTTGGCACTCGGTCATGCCTTGACAACGGTCCTATGCCAGGGACTTCGTCCCTTTGTTACGCAAGAGATGGAGATTTTTTACAGAAATGTAAGAGCGAGAATTGTTGGACCGTGCACGTGTTTTTATGTCCCTAGCAGAAGGCCAAATCAATTCCATGATATGCGCTCATGTTTATGGGCACAAGTCTTGACCACATGTCATCACAGCAAACCAAACTGGAAACAAAGTGATTCAGCCAAATGGATGGACCCAGTTGTTGGTCCGTGGGAAATAGCTAAACTATTCCTTCCTGAACTTGGAGGGCATGCTGATATCAAAAGCGCAAACGACATGGACATCAATAGTATCTTGAACTTAATGTACTGGTGCAACCATTTCACTATTCCTCAGTCCTTGATCAAGGATGTTCGAGACGTTCGAAACGACAAGTGTGTTCACGTGCCCAAGCTGGAGTTATCTGATGCTGATAAGTCTGCCGCTTTTGACGCGATCGAAAACTTGCTGAAGGACCCTCAACTGGCTGCAGACGAAGACGCAAAGAAAGCTCTCGGCGAAGTAATTAGTCTCAAGAGCATTAAAGACTTACACAATAGGGAGCCTCAGATTTTGGCCGACCTAAAAGAAGTTATGAATGAAAGGGTGTTGAACTTGACAGAAGAGTCTGAAAGAAACAAAAAGATGGTAACAGAGCTACAAGAAAGGCAGGAAAGTTTGGAAATGGCTTTTGAGGACCTCGAGCGATTTAACAGGCCCTTTCCACTAAGAGTACTAGGGTGGGTCTTTCAACTTCTGGTGTATGTACTTAGGATCCTCTATACATTCCTCAAAGGGAAAAAGACAGAAATGTTATTTTTGATCCTATTTTCATGCTTCTGTGGTGTATTGGATTATCATACAACAATTAAGGAAGGTAGGTTAAAAATCCAACTTTTTTATTCCCATTCTCATTTAAGTGTGGATAGTGACTCCTCTTAAACCAAAGACAAGAGTGGTTTTTGTAACATTCGCGTAGTTTCTTGTTTGTCGATGTTAGTTGATGTAAAGAAATGGTCAGGGAGTGGGCATACAGAAGACTTTCTTGCTTCCCTCCAACTATTTTTATGGAGCCTTAAAACTGTCTGCAGCCACAATCACTAACAAAAGTGTTGAGATACTTGCGATCAGCTACATTAAGCCGAGCTTCTGATTTTATCCTGGCATTTTAGATCTAAATTAAACTAAATTAAATTAAAATTAATAATAGAGTTAAAGCTGCACTTTAATCACAAGTTTGTTAATATTTTTGACAAAACAGTTACACGCATCGAAAAAAAGTCTATCTAGCGTATAAGCTTCGAGAAAACGCATTGTATTCATCTCAAAGGTGGAGATTGCACTCAATGAATTAAAAACGGCAATAAGAATTAACTGATCAGAGGGCATGCTTTTATCATTCGAAAAGCTTTGTTTTGTCTGCGCAAATCTTAACACAACACTCGGCTTGATGTGACTAGTTGAAAGCTTTCTTTGTATTCTCTCCATCGCTCGGGATGCGATCAGAGTAAGCAGTTAAAAGTCGATGCTTCTTTTTATGTTGAAAACTTGCAGTGTAATCGATTAAGGTTTTTTCTTCACTTGGGTCACCAAATTAGTCTCTAGGGTTTTAAAAATCTACTTAACGTGAATTTTCTGCAGGATGTTTGATAAGAAGATATGGTGATCAGTGGAGCCTGAAGCACTTCGACTTCGATGAGTTTGCTGCTACATCCAGAAAAAATTTTATTGGACGGCAGTGGTTGTATCGTGAATTAGAAGACCTTTTGGAGCATTCAGGCAAGCGAGGTGTAATGCTTGTGGGAAACCCTGGTTCTGGTAAGACAGCTTTTGCCTCTAATTTACTTTGCTCCAGGGCAGCAAGTTCACTCGTTCATGATAGAATAGCCGGGTATCATTTTTGTATGCATTCAGATAAAGGGACCCAGAATGCAGCTAAATTTGTGCAAAATCTGGCTAATATGGTTGCGTCGACTTTTGAGGATTACAATGCAATCATTTCGAGGGACTCCTTTGTGCGTAGAGCTTTAAAAGAGGAATGTTCTCAAGCTCCAGAGTGGTGTTTTCAAGAGGGAATCCTTACACCTTTAAAAAGCCTGCCGAAGAAGCCCAGAGAGATATGGTATATTGTTATTGATGCTTTAGATGAGTGTTCTACCGATGGTAAAGATGAAATTTTGACCATGCTGAAGTCTAAAGTCTGGCGCTTCCCAAAGTGGTTAAAATTGATTATTACGTCACGAAATGTAAGTTCTATCACGAAAACTCTTGCTGGTATACAAGTTTTAGAGTTGCGATCAGACGACTGGAGAAACTTGGAAGATATCGACACCTATTCGTCATTTAAAGTGTACCCTTTGCAAGCTTCGATTTTACATGGAATAAAAAATTTTTTCGCAATCAAGGAAAACAGCACACCCGATGAAAAAATTGTTGGCAGTCTTGTGAAGAAATCTCAAGGTAATTTTTTATATTTAGCGGTTGTGCTAGATTTTCTTCTTGAGGCACCAGAAAGTTTCAGCTGGAGTAGGCAAGAATTTCCTAAAACGCTTGACAGCATTTTTCAACTAAGTTTTGAACGCAAGTTCAGTTCACCTGAATCTTTTAGATCTTTACGCGAGATCTTTGAGGTCCTGGTTGCGGCATATTCACCTCTATCTGCGGAAGACATATACTCTCTTTTATCACTTGACAATCCTACCCTTGATTTTGAGTACGATATAATGTCAAAACTAGAGGAAGTATCGTTATACCTGTGGAAATCAGAAAAGGGACTTCTCAGGATTTTTCACGCGTCCTTCTCTGATTGGTTGACTAGTAAATCCAACATGGGAAAGTTTTATTATATAAAGAAAAAGAAAGGCCACAGGCGTCTTGCAGAATATTACCTCCAAAATTTAAAGAGAACCAGGAGAACCTCAAAACCAGAGGAAGCTTTCTTTCTGGCATGTCACATCGTGGAAGGAGGTTCAAATCGGAGTCTGATAGATGACTTCCAATCAATCCCTTCACATCTCGTCAATGGATCAGACGAAGTCAAAACCACTTCGCTACACCTAAGTTCACGTTTGCCTAAATCAGACGTAACAGAGCTGTTATTGCCACATTTCCATGATATCGACTGTTTGGATGATAATTATCGTACACCTGCCTTTGTGGCCGCAGCACACGGAAGGCTTGAAAACCTAAACATTTTCCTTGATAGAGGAGCAAACATAAATCATGTTGTCTCCTGTCCAAACTTTGAGGCGTCAAGGTATGCCAAAACTGCCGTGCACATGTGTCAAAGAAGGACCTGCGAGTATTCATTGTTGCATATAGCTGCGCAGGAGGGAAATTTTGGTGTCGTGGAATTTCTGCTCGAGCATCATGTGAGTCCAATGGCAACAACTGGTTGCAATAACACAGCCGTCCAGTTAGCAGCTTCAAATGGATATATTGAGGCAGTTATAGCCCTTGATAAGGCTGGTGCGGTTTTAGATGGCATCTGTTTGCATCATGCTGCTGCTGAAGGGCACAGCCATATAGTAGAATACTTACTAAATGAAGGAGTAAGGGACGAATGCATAGGTGTGCGTTCTATCGTCGAATTCTACTCAGCAGGAAACAAAGAGCAGGATATCAAAGTACATGCGTATGACAATAACCATTTGAAAATGCGCGAGACAGCACTTCATGCTGCAGCTCGGAAAGACCATCCAACAGTAATTGAATCTCTTTTACGCCATGGAGAGAAGAGTGCTATCAACTGTTTGAATTTTGCGGGCAGACGTCCCCTGCACGAGGCTGTTTATCATAACAAGTATAACGCACTGAAAGCAATGTTAGCAGCTGGAGCAAACGCTTCTTTACGTTGCGATTCAAGCAAAGAATCATTAGGCCCATTACAGAATCCTTGCACCTGTGAGTATACCCCGCTGCATATTGCTGCAAAACATGGCTCTCATAGCGTTGCTGAGCTGCTTATTGCCCATCACGCAGACTTAAATGCGGGAGATTGCAATGGATCATCTCCTCTTCACATTGCCTCCTGTCATGGAATGATATCACTTATAAAACTACTCGTCAACCGTGGAGCAAGAATCAATGGCCGTAGCCTTAATGGTTCCACTCCCCTTCACAGTGCAGCTACATGTCTTACATCAAAAAGTTTCCGTCCTTTGTTTGACCTTGGTAGTGACTTCCTCGCAAAGGACGACAATAACATGACAGCACTTTTTTATATCATCAAAGATGTGAGGGCTATTGGTATGGAATACTTCCTTGACTTATATGTTAACAACCCGAAAGATTGGATCGAACTTCTGCCAGGTGAGAAGGAACCACATGTGGAAAGCGATCTTCAGTCATCCTGGTTGTCTCAAATGATCGAACTTAGCAAAAGCTATGCTGAACATGTAGCTGCAACTTGGCAATTAGTTGATGACGTAATTTTTACAAAAACGTACGATGAAGTTCTTTTTTCAGTAGGACAGAAAGTGAACTCCTCGCTAATTTTGACTGGAATCAATGCAATGGAGCGTTCCAGGCTAGTTACCATAGCAACTCCTCGTGCTTTCTTGTATGACACGATCTTCCATGACATCTGGAAAGAGTTCGTCCCAACTTTTAAAAAAACAAATGGAGCAACTTTAGTTCCCGAACCAATACTCAAAGCCCTATCTCGTACAGCTGCTATACTTCTACCAGGAACATTTAACTGTTCTGTGTTAACGCTGGTAGTAAAAGCGAATTTAATACGCCTCGTAAATATTCTTTTGCGAGCAGGCTTTGACGTCGATTGTCAAGATGACCTAGGAGATACACCGCTTTCAGCATATCTACACACTGGTGGTCGTCACATGTCTAAAGTTATGATAAAGAACAGGGCGACAATCACCATTTCCTGCGATGAGCCCTTTGGAGAATCTATACTGCACATGATGTCTTACCACAAGTTACATTACTTGCACTATCTTCCTAAGTTCATTTTTGGAGGGGAAACGTTGTCTGAATACTTACTATCAGATAATTTTTTATTTGATTACTTTTTGAATGAATACGAATTGATTCAAAATGACGGAAACTCGGAAACAATCTCGACTGGCGATGGACCATTGATCCTTGCGGTCACGTCGCACCCTCGTGGACCCAAAATTTTAAATGAATGCTTTGATTCAGAGGGTTATAACGCCTTACACAGAGCAGCACAGGGTGCAAACTTGATTGCCATACAGAGATTCCTGTCCTTGGGAGCTGACCCGTCTATAGAAAATTCATACGGATTCTCACCGCTTTGGCTTGCAGTTTTAAATTCTGTAAAATACACACCATCCTTGAATTTACACCAAAGAAATGTTATTACAGCCCTGGAGGTGGAATTCGCCTCCATATCAGCCTCTGTTATTTTGGAACATCTTCTCCGAAGTGATACAATAGATATGGGCTGTAGCGAAAGTCGTAATAACCTAACTTTGTATCATGTCGCAGCTATTAGAGGAATGTGGCAGTTGGTAGCTCATTTACTTTCGGATAAGCGAATAACGGGCATTGATGTAAACTGCGCTAATAAAGATGGTATAACCCCTATGTATCTGGCAATGCTTGTTGGTGGCCGTTCTTGCGACTGGCATAGTCCCTGGTGCAAAGTCATTCAAACAATCAAGGACTACGGCGGAACTCTTCAGATCCCCGTAGTCGAAGCTGAATACTTCCTTCTTTTCGATCTGTTTTTTGGTATGAGCCCTGGTCAGTTGTTGCTGGAGTTAACAGATTCTGAAATACTAACTCTTCAAGAAAATTGTGGACATGAGGAATGTAAGGAGTATAAATCCAGAGAAGATCTTCTTTCGAAGTCATTTTGCGAGATTAACATGCTATACAGTGATTATAATGAACAAGTGGATCACTGTTCTATGTGTCCGAAGGAATGTCCACCCGAGTTAAGGAGAGATCTGCTCCACTTTCAAACCATGAGTTCGATTTTCATTCGCCGGCTGAGACCTTTAATATCAGAGCATGGTGTAATAAGTAAACATTTCTCTACGTTTCTGGAAACAGAAAGGAAGCGTGTAGAATTACTGATACTGAAATTAACAAAACCATCAGTAAGAGTATCTCACGAATGCACAGAAAACTGCAGGAAAGAAACTTTGGCTCTTGGTGAGAACAAAACATACCAAGAAGCTGTTAATTTGGAGACTGCTATGCACAACCTATATAATAAATTCAAAGCCAGCCTAGATGAACTAGAAGAACGTTTGTCGCAAGTTAAATCTGATATATTTTCAACAGAAAGACCCCCACATGTATTGCTGGAGATAAGAAGTGCTTTGCATAAATATGGCATCACTCTAAGCTGTGACTGGCAATCACTTGCAGCTAGATACGTAATACTGCGTTTCCAAGTTCAGAACTTAAAACTCGGCGTGAAACAAGTACTTACAAATTCCAGATTATTGGGAATCTCGGACTTTGCGTCATTGCGCATGAAGACTGTTTTCATTGAATCGCCTCAAGAGACGCTGAAACTTATTCTAAGACTTACCTTAAAAGAGTCATCCGAATACTCCGACGATTTTCGGTACCTTATGATTTTGAGATTCCGAAAGCCTCCACTATGGAAAGGTACCTTTGACACGTGGCGAACGTAGTTCAACTTATCTGTAATCTGCCACAATTATGATGCACAACTGTTCTTTCAATTTAAGGCATGATCAAAGTAGGCACGATTAACGAGTGAAAGAAACGAAGAAGGCAAAATGAACCAAACATACTGTTTCAAATATGTTTCACACAAACACCCTCACACTCTATCTGAGTGATTGAATTTGGTGACATTTTTAGTGTAGTTGACACAATTAACAAACCCCAAAACCTCGGATAAAAAGGAATTAAATACAATGCTGACTATTAGCTTTTTACCGTCAACCGTCAAAAAGCAGTTCAATATTAACCGTCCGACGCTTTAAAGGTGTTTCGGATCTTGATATTTTCCACATTTAAGCTGCTTATTGTAAACAGTTGAAGATTTTAAAGGATTTTAAACTGGTAAACTAGTTTCCAGGTTTATATATTCATATTAATTAATCGATGTATTGAATTTCAATATTCAATATTTAAAAGGGCTAACCTCTTTGGTAACTTATAAATTATGGCAATTAAGTTATCACGCCATGCAGTGTCATTCCCTTTAGACCAAGTAAACATCATGTCATGTCATGTTATGTTGAGCTTGTTGAAAACCGTCGTGAGCTTTTATCTGAAAAGAGAAGATGGTGCAGCTATCGAGTGATTCAAGACAAGACTCTCTGCTGGGGAAAAGCATTGGAAGTCTTCGGAAGCACATCATTGACTTCCTTGAGATCACTGAATAGTTTACCAAGTTTGGGCTCGGCTCGTATGAGCCCAAGCTTTACCGATTGTAAAATTAGTAGACCTCCACATCGTTTCACATTTTTGACTTGAAACCTTCAGCGTCCTGCAATACGCTGTGGACTTTGGTAGCATCTCGAAGGAGGACTTAAGAGAATCACAAAGTTGGCGTCGAAGTTCCCTACTCACCCTGGCTCCTATTACCCAGTGCCCCAGTCTATGCATTTCCGGTCTGTTTTAAGGAACTACCTTCTGGGACAGTCTCCAAAGAAAGGGAACTTGTCATGAAAGAGTGGATAGAGAACTACAGACTAGTGAGCCAGGACTGTTAGAGTAGAGATCACGAATGACAAAGCAGGCGCACTCCCCCCTGCTGTTTGCGCACAAACTTCTTCAGTGTGTGGAAAGGTTCTTTTGCATGGTGACTGTGAGGGAGACGACTAATCTCTTAGTACTGTGGCCAAAACATGTCGAACCATAAGCTTTGTTTGCGACACAAGTATACCACATGCCATACCAGCGTTGAACTTGAACCATCACAGGTCGATGAGTACGAAAGCGACTCGGGACGTGAAGTCATGGAAAGTAAATGTGAAGAGTTCAGGGACTTTCCCATACTTAGATATTCCGGTTATAGATCCAGGACAAGATCTGTTTCACATATCTCTCAGTTTTCTATGGTTTTTTTTTGCATTTGATTGAGGAGAAGCTCTCATTTAAATGATTAATTGCCTCCTTTAAGTTCGTCACAGCTCCACATTCTCCGTCCTTGATGGCTTTATCAGTAAACTTAAAATCAGTAGGATAAATAGAACACATATTTTCATCAGAAAGTTTTATTTTATTATTTCATTGAAGTTCTTCTTTCAATACCACCAGTCCAACGAAGAGGCGCAAGTTCTGCAGTGTTTCGAGAGACCACAAGACTGATTAACGATTGTAGAAAAGTGATTTAACCGAAAGTAAGTACCTCGCTTAAGATGAAGCACGTCATAAATACGAAAAAAAAAATTTAAAACACCTAAACCAGTACAGAATACCAGAACTTGCCTTTGTCAAATGGACTGTTGGTTCTCTGCAGAGGAAATCCAGCTACCTCTCAATTTTATTAGGAAAATCTTAATCAACTTACTGGTATGCCTGATCCTTGTTTGATTTGAAAATAAACAAAAAACAGAAGACGGTGGATTAACAGAAAATCAACCGAAAATCTTAGCTGCTAAATATTGAGACCATATAAGGTGTTTTTAGGTTCATACTTCTGATTCTTATCTATTTTGCATTTCTTAGACTTCACCATAATTCGAGTGCAGAAGTATTCCATCAACAAATAAAAGATGAAATAAGATGGCATAAAAATAAAAGCAAAACTATCCCTTAGTCCTGGGATCAATCACACTTCTTCAATTACTTGAAAAGAGAAGTAGCTCAGTTGTTAGGGAAAATTAATATGAATTAAAGATTTCCCAGAATCTCAGATTCCAACTGAATAATACGTCGTTCCAATACATCTCTAACTGTTTAATTTGAATCGGTTTGGTTTTTTAGCGCGAAAACATGTCAGTTGAGGATTCAAATCTTAATGTTTCATTTCCGTTCTTCTCTTGAAGAAGTGGCATGTGAAACAGAATTTGATTTTATCTTAAACGTAAACTAGAAACTCATCAAGTCCCAAAAAGACCCAACACAAAGGAAAATGCGTGTTTTATTGCTCAACATGATATCATAGAGTAGTCATTTTACATTTAATTTGTAAGAACCATAAGAGTAATCAAGAAAACAATTGAAAATCTGGTAATGCGGAAAGTATATCGCCTTGTGTATAGCATCTGTCTGCCCCTTTATTATCATTTACAGGATAAATCACAAATTTGACTTAAGAAGGGAAAATGGAATTGAACCTGCACTGATGACCACACACAAACTGAAAATTCGACTACAAAATTGTCAATTGAGGCCATTATGGTGAAATAAGTATGAAAAAAATTGCGTAGTATTGAAATTTTCATCAAGAAGTCCTCCTATTTCAGATCTGAGAAAATGAATATAAAGCTCTTTGAAAATAATAAGTACTCAAAATTTTCCAATTTTCTTCATATGTAGCGTTGGTGCCGGTTTCTTTGGGATCCTACATAGACGGGTCACACCCTAAACCCCAGTTCCCATTCCTGAAAAAAGGGAAGGAAAAGTAGCCATTCGAAATAGTAGCAAGAGAGGATCCGCATCATTGTTGAATTTAGCATGTTCCACATGTCCTCATGACGAGGGATACATTTACATGTCTTACTTGGACTACATGAACTGGGATATCTATTTTATTTCTACATAACCACTTTTGGCGAGGGTCCTGGGGTGAATGTTTGCTCCAAACAAAGCTGTGCGAAACTGTTGGATAGTTTTAAAGTAGAAGGATCTTTTCTCTTTTCAAAAAAGGAAAACTCTTTCTGGTAGCAGATTGACCAAATGTGACGATGGTTTGTGTCCGTGGTTTATTCAAAAGCAGAACAAAATCCCTTAGAAATGGGGGAAATATTCATGGCCTCATGTTTTATTGAATGAATAATAGGTTTAACTGGCAATTTATGGGCACTTCGTTTTCCAGCAAGAGTTTCAAATTCCCTGTTTAGGATACGAGTTTGTGTCAGGTGGTCTCTCACAGAGGTTAGATTAAGGAAAACTTAAAAAAAGGTTCATTAATTGTTTGAAGTCAGTCTTAAGTTTTCGATGACTATTAAGTACGCTTCAAAGAAATATCATAGATAGGTAATGAATAAAATAATTATGAATCAAAAGAAAATAAATATGCGAGATAACAACTTTCGATTCAATTTCCCTCCAAAATACTTCCATTGTCTCTGTTGTACAGTAGCATGTTATATTTCATGAAACATTGCATACAGAATTCAGCTTAAGCTTTTGGAAAGTAAAAGATTTTAAAAGTTCGCAAAAAAACTTTCCTACTTACTACAAGTCCTTCAATTTTTTCTTTTTAACTTGATCTGCAATAGTTCCGGGACATGTAGCTTGTTCATCATATCAGCCACAACAACTACCTCTTTGATGGTCTGTGCAGTTTACCCAAAGTGTTCGTTTTAAAGGTGTCGTCTGGCGGTCATTCTGGCAAGTTTTATTAGAGTTCCTGTGATGCTTAAAGCGCAGTCCTCTTTTAAAACCTGGGTGCCTTGTCATCAGTTATGCCTGATGAGCCAATCAGTTACGTTGCTAACTGTTGGTAAATGAAGTGGAGTTCTGGTGACCTGTCTTTCCTGGCTCCTTGGTCTCTCACGAATATAACTCCTGAGGAAAAATCAGAAGATTTCAAATTTTTAATTATCAGTGCTTTAGTTTTTTGTCATTACCTATTCATTTAATCTTCAACATTATCATTCAATGTACATACAATTTATTCGTTACGTAATTTTATATCTTTATTTTACGTTACGTTTATACTTTCACACAAGCCTTTACAAATAGTTCACGAAGTTTGCCTTAAAGTCTAATGTGATCCCTTTCTTTTAATCTGTAAAAATTGAATGGACACACCTTTTCAAATTAGTGAAACTGGCATCGCTATCATGGCACGCGCATATTCTTTTCAGTTCTACGTCACACTTTAAGATCACTCCCCAAAAGTTCGATTCTGCATCTGTCACTTATGATGCTGATCATTTGATTAGAATGGAACCTTTAGGTCAGGTATCTGCTCAGGGGACCGGAGTGAATTCCAGTAGATCGCAATGGACAGTATGGTAATGCTATTCAGTCTTTACGGCTTTACGCTTCCTGGATAATCGGTGGGAAAAGTACAAAAAATGTAACAAACGAACATAGTAATCGCAGTCCCCGAAACGAAACTGCTTTTAGGACAAAAACCATGTGCTACCGAGTCACGTTACCTAATCAATATCCATTCGTTCATTCGGCCGCTAGTCGGCCCCAACACCCGGCAATTGCGAACTGTCCTCCGAAATCAGTTAACGTCAATCTTAATAATGCATTGCAAACTGTGTGTTCTATAGAAAATATAGCGAAGGGGAGATCTTCTCAGATTCCCTAAAATCCCCCAAGTTGCCGTTTTCTGTCATCTATGCGTTGAGCACTAAAGAGCTCTATATTCCCCTGTTCAAGGCAGATTCAATGATTACTGATTGTGATATCACATAAACATTCTAGGACTACCTTATATTAGCCTTCAATGTATTTCGCGAGCTGAATGATTTCAATTTCATTTTACCTTTTCCCCGGTCCATTCTGCAAAAATGCTATAGAGACTTGTCAA